GGCCCGGGCCGGCGGGCCGGGGGCGCCCGCCCCTGAGCCATACTGAGAGGAAGGGGGACGCTCCAGCTGCAGCCCTCGGCGCTGACAGGCCCTGCGCTTCTTTCGGCGTCTCTGCCCGAGCCGTAACCCTGCGCTGAATACTGACCATCAGCCGACCGCAACGGGGTCTCTGGCTGCACCCCGGGGTGCAGAGGGGCGAGTGGCCATGCTGCCTTAAGCCGCGGCAGGGCTCTGCTGTTCATTTAATTCTTGCCTTCCCATTTGCAGCCCAGCTGCTGTTCCCACCTCTGCCCCATCTGCACCCTGATATTGGGGTGCAGACACCAGCCTGATACTTCGGAGAAGGAGGTCTGAGTTACAAGTGGAACATAAATGAGGCATCCAGCTGTGCAGAAGGGCTGCTGTGGGCGCTGTCCAAGCACTCCCCTGCCTGTGGTCTGTGTGAGCCAACACAAGCAGGACGCAGGAACAACCACAAACCATGGATGAAATGGAAAGAGAAAATGTAATCTCGGTACCTCACAAACCGGGGGTCTCTGAAGCAGCACTGGAGCAGAGGCATGCAAGCAGGAGTGCAGGCACCGTGGAGCTCAGCCCTTGCTAGAGGGGGTCATCATTAGTGCGAGAGAATGTGTTTGAACCCACTGTTACTGCTTGTATTTTGGGGGTTCAAGCACACGTAGTTTTCCACTGTGCTTTGATCTTTTCCAACAGCAAGGCAGGAATCTCAGGCATGTTCAATAAGGTGCCTCTAAGTCCATCACAGCCCTATGTCTAAATGCATATATTCTACTTGTTGAGCACACAAGACTAAACAACGATTAATGTGATATATGTGTTTTCCAACACCTCAGGTGCAGGTCACTTAACAAAAAGGATTGTAAACATGCTTACTTTCCCAAACAGTCCGAGGGAGGCCCCTGCACAACCCCCCACCTTGGGCTCCACCAAAGGCTCAGGACTGCAAAGCAAGCCCAGGGTTACCTGAAGTGCGTGATATCTGCAGGAGCTGCCTACGCAGGGGCTGCTGCATGGCTCCTCCGAGCTTGCCTTTGGGGAGAGGCAGGGCAGGGCAGGGCCACTGCAAGTCCCAGCACGAAGTTAAATTTAGGCTTAGTGAGAAAGTACTGAAGGAAAGAGAAAGCCAGTTCCTGTATCGCCAGTGAGCTCCAGCCGGGCTCTCCCAGTGAAACTAGGACTGCTGCTGGAACATGCTGAGAAGCTGCAGGCCAGAGGCCTGAGGGGCACTGAGCCTTTGTCTCAGCCCAGGGCAGCACCAAGGCAAGGCTGGAGATCAGAGAACAAGAATGCCATGCAGGAACAGCATTCAAACCCAGGCCCCCAGCTTAGCCTCGGCTGACTTGTAGGACTAGGGTGAGAAAGAGAGGGAAAACACCTTTTCCTCATGCTAGAATTTTGGTTTAATAACTACTTACTAGGACGGCTTGGAACAGGAGAGCCTGTGGCTCAGCTTCAGCCACTCAAGGCATTGAAGGCGTTTAATGGATTTAAGTTAATCTATTATTTAATTATTAATATTATTCTTACTGATAATATTTTGTTACTTTTGCAAAAAATAGTACCCAGACAGTAAGAAGATATTTTATTTTGAGATGCTTTTAAAAAACGTTTTATTGTTCACTATGTGTAATATGCCAGTAACCATTGCATATAAAGGAAGCATTCAGAATATTATAACATATATATGAACAAAAAATACTTTACTTGTGACATTTTAAGATTGATGAGACTTTCTCTTATGTTACTGGTAAATAGACCTGATTTGTGAAAATTAGAATGCTATTGTCATTGAGGGATTACTATACTAATTCTATTATATTATAGGAAGTAAAAAGATAAAATATTTTTATAATATTAAGAATCTAAATAATTTACATACGGTACACATCTCTGTGTGTATTATATTCTAATACTTGAAGGGGATCGGGTTAATATTGAGTATGCAAGTATCAGTCAATGTTTATGTTCCCATGAAAACAGACCTCTCTAAAAAGCAAACACTAAACAGAACAAACCTATAGTTAGAGGATTTTAATTTCAAGGTTCTGCAAACTGTAAAGTTCAAGATAAACGCATCAAGCTGAATATCTTAGCTAAGCTTAAATAAACACCTTGAATGCCTTTTCACAATTACAGAGCAAAGGCATTTGAATAACAACATACTGCATTTTCAGTAGCTACAAGTAATTCCAATTTGCTCTATATAATCTCATACTTATTGTGAGGGTTTTCCCAGGTCAAAGCTCTTTCTACTTCTCCACCTTAGTAATTTGATAAAGTTAAGACTTGCACTGAAGATTTTGTCATGATGAAAAACCATTTTGTAGAATATATCAATGGGTAGATCTCCATTTGGATCTGCGTATTTCAGGGTTGTCATCGGAGTATACAAGGTGTTGGTCTGATGGCGAAATGGTGGATTTTCTGCAAGAATTATCTTTACTGTATGCTGTCAAGAATGAGAAACAGAATTGTTAAAGAACCTTTAGTTTTCTGTTAACCAGAGGAAAAGTAGAAGTGCTAGAATAATGTAAAACCTTTATGTCATTTTATTAGAATTTCATTAGAATTTTTTCTTGAAATATTTTTAAGGCCACAGAATTACTTCTTATTTATTCTTAGTGCTATTTCTGTTTATCTATACATCTAGCATCTTACACCTCAGTATCCTGAATAGTCCTCCAAAATTATGCCTATATGCCCACAATAGGTAAATCCTTTCTTTTACAGTTCACTGGGAAAGGATCGGAACAGTGCACTTTACAGCAAGATCTGGGAACCTTCAGTTGACACTGAAGCTATTCCTTAGCAGCAAGCACCTGAAATCATTGTCCCCTTCCACAGCTTGCCTAAACTTGTCTTCCTGCAGGAAGCCCCAAACACCAGAAACTACGTCCATGTATCTTCTTTTGTGCCTTGGTGGTTTGGGATAGCAGAGTGAACTCGCATTAGCGGTGGGATTACTAGTGAGATGGAAAGGAGAGAAGCTGTAAACAATGGTGGGAACCCTGTGTAGATGTATGGTAACACTGCAGAATGTCCAGACTTCACCAGATGATGTATAAGTGCATCTAATACCTCAGTAGCATTTAAATTACAATTCACAGCTGTCTTCAATACTTCAAAATGAACATTCTTTTAATACTATAAAGGGTTTTGTTTAAAACTCTTGAGATTCTCTTGGGTTTTTAAAAGTAATTTTAAATTGTGGAAATTACACTTAATCAAATCTAATGCTTCTATCAAAAAAAAAAAAAAACACCAACCAACCAGGCATTTGTAAATTACAAAGAAAAAAAATTCAAGAAAAAAGAAGATGGAGAATTGTTGATGAGTTACCTCTGCAACTTCTTCAGCACTTTGTCCCAGGCTCTGGAAAATTTGTTTGTAATTTTTAAGGTAAATATTAGTAAACATCTCAGCTGTTTCCTCATCTGCAGCTGAAAGATCCATTTTCATTCCATCTTCAAACACTTTTCTTTCAAACTCTGTAACCACTGGGCCTGGTTCAATCAAACTTAACCTGTTCAAAAAGCAAAGATACACTGGTTATTAACTGTCCTCCATGGGAAATACACCTCTATCCTTCTCAAAAAGAATATCGAAGAGTTGCACTACCAGTACGTGGTAGCTAGCAATATTACACAGTACATTCTCTAAAGGCAATCCGTACCACATTATTGCTCTCATGCTTGTGCCCATCCACATATCATAGAAATCTGCGTAGCCTAAATTCCAGGGAAGTGCTATAACTTAATTCATGGCAGAAGTAAGCACAGTTGTTTCCTGCTGTCTCACAGCTAGGGAATTTATCCACAAGAGCTTACCAAATATTACGAAAAATAATTAAAGGATGATAAAATTAATTACTTTCTGGACAAAATCCTACATAGATTTCTTTGTTACAGCTTTCCCATGATAATACTAGAAGTAGCTGAAATAGAGGGGGGAATTACCAAAACGTGGATTTTCTATGTCAATCTGTCAGTGTTACATAATTCCAGATTGCTCCACAATATCATAACAAAATACAATATAGACAATTTTGCTGTGGGTGGACAAATTTTGGCTGCTGCCAAATCTGGAAAATTTTATTTTGCTTGATAGTGTATTACAGCAAATCGCTGAAATACGGTTCTTGCCCAGTTCTTTTCTCGGGCAGTAATTACTCCCAGCCACTATGTCTATCAAAACACTCTTTGGGATAGGACCTTTTTCTAGAGTTGAGTTCTGATCAGGCTTTTCTTTAGAACTAAACCAAGCTATTGACTTTGACGGCAGAATTCCAGCTCCCGCTGCAATTAAAGCCTTTTCTCTTGTATCACTCTTCGCACTAGCCCTTGAACTTTTCCCATTCTACTTTCTTTTTTCAACTTCCTTTTTATTGGATCTCATAGTCTTGAAATTTTACTATGATTTCTTGTATAGCCTGTGTATTATTACAATATTTTAAATCCCTCCAAACTTTTCAGAGCAGTATGCAGAATCACAGTTTGGATCCTGCTTTGTCTCTGAAATCCCATGATAGCAGCTGTCTCTTCTCCCACAGCACAAGGGCTAAATGTTTAGGCACACAGAGATGCAATGGATATTTAACAATTGTTGGACTTCACACAAAGAATAAGAACAGAATTAGATGAATGTGAATATACATGTGACAATCAACCCCCGAAGTCCCACAGTCAATGAACAGGACTATTAAATACTTAAATACAGTCTTAAACATTAAGAAGCCGTACACCACATTCTTCTCACTTTCCTCCCACCTCCCATCATTATAGGTATCTCGCCCTATGTTCCATTCTGATGGATTTCCACTTGCAGTCTATGACGAGCCCTTGACCTTTTTCATCTGTGAACTACCTAAGTTGTTTGTTATCCTTTCAAAAGGAAAATATTACAGATTGATAGTATAATTTTACTCCTATGATACTGTATGCAAAAATCTGTTTTCAGAAGTGTTACATAAATTGTATTTTATCCAAAGCTAAACAGCCTTTAACTGTTCAAGAGAACATGTTTATTTTAGTGTCTATAATTTTTATTTGCTTATGTATTGTGAAGAATGTGGACATTTCTATGCTTTTTGTAATGTAAGATTTCCATGGGTTCCTCAATCTGTTTCTCCTAGATAGCAGCAAGCTTTAAAAATGTGTTTGCTAGCTCTGAATATAGTTAAAACTATCTAAAATACTGTTTACACCAGTGGATCAATACTTACTGCAGTTTGAACTTGAGTGCTTGTATGGCTAAACTTTCGCAGAATCCTTCCACAGCAAACTTAGATGCAGCATAAACATCATTAAATAAGATACCTGATGGTACAAACAAAACATCCTGAGAATGTGATTGTATACAACATACTAATAGTTTTGTTTTTAAAACTCTTGTATTTTCCAAAAATTTCTAGTCTTGCTGGGAAACCAGTAGAAAAATCCTTGTGTATACTGAATCTAAATACTGATTTTTTGCATTTGTTCTCAAATTTGTTCATTCTAGGAAAGGATGCTCGACTAATGCTTTCCCTCCTTCTAGCTGATACTGTGATCTCTTTGGATGATATTAAATGTTTTGTAGTCTAAGATATGAAAGTGCCTGTACATACAATACCATCTGCATTATTCATCAGCAAGACTTCAATAGGCTATAGATGAATACAGAAGCTGAGTGCAATACAGGAGATATGATTATGCAAGGGATACAGCTTGCATCTGAGTGATTTAGAAAAAGCACTACATTGATCCATTTAGGTGGATGGTAAGTATTGTATTTAACAGTAACAACTCTTGCAGTTTGACTCAGGACCTTTGCTCACCAGAATAATCCAGGTAAGATCAACACCACTGTTGGAATAATTGAAAAAAATACAGCTAGACCAGATGGAACACAGGAGTAGGAGCATCATTATCTGTTGCTAAAATTAGACTCTGTGGAGTTTTATGAGAGGAGAAACTTTAAAAAAAGGTGGTACAGTTGTCCAGGACATGATTGGATTTTATTCTGTTATTATTGTACAGAGCATAGTAAGCCTGTTTGTCCATCCCCATTATCTTTTCCAATAGGGAAGAGAAAGTAATTCTACAAAGCTCTGGTTTCCAGATAATAAAAATAGAATAATTTTTTTTTAAATAAATAAAAATAATTAGAGTTGGAATTAAAACCCTAAAAAAATGTACTCTGCAGGTTTTGTTGTTAAAATGTCTTGAGAGTAGTCGTGTAGTAACAAACTACCTAGATGCTACAAACTACAAACAAACTACAAACAAACTACCAAACATCAGGTTTAAGTGCTGTGCTTTTTATAGTTGGAACTTCAGCATTGCAAAGCACAATAGTTAGATATGCTAGCTCCTACTTTTTTTTTTTTTCCCCAGATGAAAAGATGTAAGCTTTAGATTTTGAATACTGAGCTCTTAGTTCAAACAAACAAAACCAAAAAAAAAAACAACTTTGCCTTGTATTCCCATAACACTGCTTATTATAACTATGTGCCCGCTCTTTCTCCTCTTCATGTCAGGCAAAATCTCCTTCAGGAGTCGAACCAGTCCAAAGAAGTTGGTATCCATCACAGTTTTCATTTCATCTATGGTCTGACATTCAATAGGTCCAATGAGCCCCATTCCAGCATTGCTAACTGCACAAAATGGAAGACAATAGTAAGGAATAATGCCCATAAACATTTACTTGTAATCGTTACTTGAAAGTAAAATGAGGATTAAGGATTAAATGATCCTTAAATAATCCTTAAAGAAAGGATTAAAAGATGTTATTCTGTCACTAAAGCTTTGCAAATACACTTGAAATAGCCATGTTTTTTTGTTTTTAATTATGCTTTTAATCCAATTTAAGTAATCTGATATTTTGCATTTTAACTAGTTTATTTCTGATTAGTCATTTTTCTTTAAATTATAAAAAGATTACAGGAAAATGACCCAAGTATGATCTATATTTGTTCATAATTCAGTATTAAGAATTAGAGGCTACCGTCAATACCCACAGGAATGAACAGAAGGCTTCAATTTATTCTAAAAGGTCATAGACCAGGCCATATTTTGGTCTGCTTTTTGTTTTATTTTTTAACATTCATATCTTCAAGGAAAAAAAAGCAAATCAAAACACACGCTTCCATTGATTTTTATTTGCCTCCTGGATATTTATAAGTAGGGAGTGATTCATAGAACTGGCATTCTGCACTACAACTAGTACATCAAATTAATAATACAGTTTGCAGAAGAAGCTTGTTAAGTAGTGCTTTAATAATTACTCAAAATTAAGGCAGGTCCATAATTTTCTATTAGAGAAGATTTAATAGTCGATGGTGTAAGCAATTTCCATCTTACTAATATATTAGTATTTATTTTTAGCAAAAAAATAAGAAAACACTTATTGTTGAATGATTTATACAATTACAATTCTTGATACAAAATGAAAGTACCCTTACTTTCTTTGCATTTGTTCTTTTACTTGCTAATTCCCAAATGCTGTTGCTTTCTTAGTACAGAGAGCTGTTGCCTTCATTGTAAATAGGGCTATGCTTCATCAATAGGGCAGAAAGTCTTGTACATGAAGATGCCAATTTAGGCAAAAGTTCGCTTCTCACATTTACTGAAAACTGTATCGTCTTATCCAAGACACTTCTCTATGATCAAGCTTCTCCTTTGTAAACAGTGTAAACAAGCTTCCCTACTTCATAGGAGCCTGGTGAGATTTAATCCACTCATGTCTGCATGAAGCCTTAAGAATCTTGAATAGAATACACAATAATAATTATTATTACTTTGATCCTTTTACAATACACTGATGAAACTTCTCCAGGGTATTTGAGAAGAACGTTAAATAGAAAACTGGTATCTTTTCATAGCATACACATCCTGTACTTGCCTAGGACATCAATCCTTCTGTCAGGGATACTGTTCACACAAGTTTTAATAGACTGTTCATCACAGACATCCAGTTGTTTAATTTCGAGGGTTTTGCCCAGCCTGCGACCTGCAGCTTCCTCGAGTGGCTCTTTCTTGGCCAGATTCCGCATTGTGGCATACACTGCAACACACCAGAACCAACAGTTACCAGAAATAAAACTTTACCTGTGGCAATCTTACTGAGAAGTATTAAAGAATATTGCTTTTACATCCATATCTTAAATATCAGTAACAGAACCCAGATAAAAACTTAAAGTAGAAGGAATCTGTTTTCAATGTATATTGCCACTGATTTCCCAGAGTCTGGTTCTGAAATCTTCAAGAAATTCAAAAGGAGAATTAAACTGCCATGCACATGAAGAATATGCAGCGTATGAAGATAATATTATCACCAAAACTTTAAATAATGGGTAAAGTTATGCCATTGAATTATTTTTAGGTACCTAAAACCTAGTTTTGGATTCCAGATTTTTTTTTTTTTTTAAATCACCGTCAACATGCTTAGCAGAACAACCATAATTTTATTACAAAGTGGAAGACAGATGCTTCCTTAGGTTTGCAAAAATGTCTATTTTTGCAAGCTACTTCTCAAAATAGAAATTAGTTTTATCATTATTGTAGCCTAATTACACGGAAAACTATGAATCTGCATCCAGTCGGTTAGCAGTAAAATACTGTGAGAGAAATTGTGAAAAACTGAATTACTACAGGTTACTGTATTTGCCTTGCCATCCATTTTCAATCATAGCAAATGTCCCATTTTGCAGCAGAAAGACAAATCCCAGCCCTTTTGTTTACCCTCTTGTGCCTACACAGTGTTGGCATAATGAAACATGCCTGAAGGAAAAGATAGCAAATTAAAGAACTGTTAATTTCTTTGGTCCTCAATTGGGCATGTACATTTCATTCAACAAAGATTTTAGTAGCCAGAGCTGAAGCTAACTACAACTGTGAATGTATATCAAAGGTAGCCTACTGCAGACGTTTTCAGCTATTTGTTTTCATACTACTGTCTCTTTTTTTTTTTTTTTGGTAAACTATTCAGTTCAAGTAGCTGTTCAGCTTCAATACAGGTACAGAAATATCATCTCCTTACAAAAAGTAGTATATTTTCACTGTACTGTATTTTCATGACAGTGGGAGGAAGGAAACTAAAAAGAAACAAGTCGCCAAACTGAATACAATCACCTGTTAAATCACAGAGGAAAAAAAAAATAGTACTGTCTTGAAGAATATCTTTTTATAAAGGTAAGTAACAGATATATCGTTACCTTTAAATCTTTTCTGTTCATCTTTTGCCATTTTTACAGCTAAGGCCAGTCCAATCCCTGAGGAGCAGCCCGTAATGAGGACATTTCTTCTCGCCATTCTTTTCACTGGGTGGTTCACGCAAGAGTTCTTGTTCAAAGGAGCAGCAACCTAAATGTAGCTACAGTATAATGTCATTGGCCTTTAATGCTATCTCCAGCTTTCCTGAGTCAACAAATCTGAAAATGCACACCTGGACCCTGCACGATTAAGGGATAATCTCCAACTAGACAAAAACAGAAGCAGATGCTCCTGCATGAGCTTATAATCTGCATTATCAACATGGACTATATTTAATACAAACTTTGATTATTCTTTAAAATGAGACATTCGAAAGCTACAGAGATTTTTTTTTTTAATAGTGGAATAATCAGTTTGCATACTACTGGCAAGAAAAGCCTTGCCACAGTTGACACTACAGACTGTTTGTAATTCCTCCACTCATGTCTATGGAAAGTGAACTGTACCCAAAATGGGATCCCACTGCCAAAGGTGTTCAGACTTCCTACACTTAACAGCACTCTCCTCATTCTTTTGCAACAGAATGACAGATGGATTTCTTCCCTGATGCCTTAGAATTACAAGAGTCCTAATAGGCTTTAGAGAAAATTGAAATTGAAAAATGGGATGTGGATTTGGAAAGAGTCAAGTTGTTTAGACAGATTCCTCACATTTCTTTTTGGCACTGTTCCCAACCAAGAACAGAGAAAGTAATCAAGTATGCTGGCAGGGGAGGGCAACCAGGAAGACATTGAACAGACCAGCTCAGTACATCCTTGCTAACACTGAAATCTCTTTGAACACTTTCTATTCACCAATTGAAAGTTGAAAATAAAAATAAAAAAATAAGTAAGAACTAGCACGATGCCTGACTCCGTTTTAGTTTTGGAAAAATATTCCACCAACTTTGCATACAAACTCTGAATTAAACATGGGGACATTTTGTCTGGCAATTTGGTGCAGTTCATGTTCAACATACAGTAACTGTAGGCATACTACATTCAGAAAGAAAATCAGTCTCTTGTGAAATTTGTAACCCATGCTGAGTGACAGAAAAAGAATTAATAAGCAATTAGCCTTCTGAACAGTATTCAGCTAATTTCAATGCCATTATACATAGAAAAATGTTTTCCAAGATTCAATAACCCCATGTTAATGCAATGCAGTTCAGAAGAATGAACTTAGTGTTCCAGGATTTGCATAGATGTAAATTAGTTAGTAACTCAAGAAAAGTAGGACTCTACAGACACACTTAACTGAAATTATAATATTAGGGGGGGAAGAGTCCCTCTTTTCCAAAACAAATAAATTCACAGTATAAGTGGAATCATTAACTTCTCAGGCTAGCAACAAAATAGCAAGACAGCATCTGAAGTTAATATGAAAATTTAATTATCATTCTACTTATTTATAAGGTTTGACCCACATTTTTACTAGAGAAGTTAGTATCCAGATACACAATTTTAGTGCAAATGCTATTTAGCTGATTCAGATATTAGGCAAATTGCTTTTGCTGCTCATGCACATTTATATTTAGTGCATGTAGGAGGAGCAAGAGAGGCTTTATGCAACACTACGTTAGTGGAATTCCACTAGTGTTATGATGCAACTGTAATTACAGATTGGTCATATTTTCCACTTGAAATCCTTGTTTGAAGGGCTTACATGTTCCTTTGCTTAAAAAAAAAAAAAAAAATCTGCCTGAAATTTGATACATAGATTTCTAGCCTGAAGGCAAACTGATCTGCCTAAAGAGAGGGTAAAAATTAAAGTAGTTTAGTATTTTTCAGTTATTACACTAGTCAACCTAATTCTAATATTTTTCATTTACTATTACACAGAGAAACAAATAACTTGATTTAAAAACATACAAAATATTTATTTCCATAAGTGAACACTTTTTTTTTTGCTACATCATAATTTTCATAATAGCAAAATAAATAATCTGAAACTGCTGAAATACTGTAGATGAGTGTATCTTGACCTTGACAATGGTAGCAAAACTTGTGCCCAGTTTTGTGTAACCACTTAAAGTAGAATGGTTGCATTTGTGGAACATGTTTGCATACACAGTGAAAGGAATTTAACACACTTCCACCTGCAGAGTTGCTGAAATACAACAGATAGAAGTGTATCTTGGCCAAAAAAACTAATACAAAAACCACTTTACTGGGTCCTAATATGTAATTGCATTCTGTTCCTCTGCTTTATGTCAAGTAGCTTTATCAACTTGATTTTCTGAAGGATGAATCACATGTAACGCACGTAAATCATGTTTGCATTAATCAGACTCAGATTTAGGCCTCTTCTAACCATATTTGCAGTTTCTGACACTTATGTAAACACAAAATTGTTAGAAATAGGGGCCGCTAGCCATTTGTATTAGCTAAGTTGTGTAGTACTTTTGGAAAACTGTAAATAAATATATTTTAGAATGCATAGTTATTATGCCATTTTAATCAATGGAAATTTTTGTACGGATTTTGGTTTGGAAAAAAAATATTATTTTTTCTGGGAAAAATGTTCAAGTTCTATGGCCCTGTCCCACACCCCTTTGCACGGGAGAGATACTGCTGGGAGTAAAGCAAGCAGGTTTTGCTCATGTCTACGATCAAATCGGTATCCTAAAACAACTTACCAGCAGGTCAGTTTTAATAAGATATTGTGTCTGCAACATTGTATGTGTACAAAAAAAATTAAAGTATTCCCAAACAAAAATTGTTAATAAGGTAATACCATTGTGCTCTTAATTAGAAGTTAGATGTGAAACACAAGTACACAGTTTAAAATCCTTGGAAAAAAAATGACAGCGGAAATTGATTCCTGCAACCCAAGATACTTAAAAAATAAAATTTATTTCTCAAAAATAAAGATGTTATTATATCAAGGCAATAATCTCAAAAACAGTTGGAAAAATAAAAGGTTGTCATTTGTGTCAGTAGAAATAACCACATTCATTGTTTACAAATATAATGTTAAAATTTCCTCTTCGAATGCACGATTATGATGCCAGCAACAGCATTCCTGGGTTGCTGCTTGTCCAGTAAGCAACATTCCTTTCTTCACAATTCTTGCCCCTGAAACAAAATATCGGTGATCAGAACCTTCCTTTAAACTTCTGCACATGATTTACGCTATCTAAATCCATTTGTACTAATATGTTACTTTTCATTATTAAGATTTATCTTAAAAATTCAAGAAAACTAGCTGCAGGTCTCAAGCCCATGGCTTCCTTCTCAAGTTCTGCTGCCTAGACTGAAGCAATTAATGCTTTCTTCTTCTTTATTCTTGTAATTGAAGTGCATTTGCTTTCAAAATGAACATAATTTACAAATTTTTCAACATATATTAAGTTCTAGCAGATAAGTAGGAAAATATTATGCAGAATATTTTGAGAAGAAATCTTCATATACAAATCCCTGTAAAAATTTTGTTCAGTTTAAAGGAGTGCTGTCTTTTGAAATAACTCCTCTGTGTAAGGCTTAAGGTTTCACGTGAACCACGTTATTGTGTTTAAGTTCCTAACAACTTACGTTTCTAACAATTCAGGAAGTGTTTACAAAAACCTTATCAACAGCATCAAATGTATCAAGTATCAAGAGGAAAAAAGTCTACGATTTTTATGAATACAAAGTGAGGAAAATCTAATTAACGTTAATGTAAGTTTTCTAGATTTTCTACAATATACAGAAATAAATGCAGCCAAAATACAGTATGTTTGGCACTGGGGTTTGTTTGGGTTTTTTTTTTTTCTTCATTTCTAGAGGGTTAGCCCCCCCTTCCTCTGTTAAAAGACAGGCTTACATGCTGGACCTAAGTATTTGACAATTCATTTGCAGAAAAAAACCAAACAGGAGTATATAGGTGATCAAAATGGTCTCTTCTAGTATATCATCCACCGCAGCTATGTTTATGTTATCCAGTACTGTGGCACAATATTTCATAACATCCCATAATACTATGGCTCCTGCTAATTATAAATATAAAAGTAATTATGTTGTATCTATTCATGTTTAGCTAGACGCGTATTCTTTATGAGGAATGCTACAGAGTACACAGACATCTATAAGTAGCACATAATAAGGTTACAGCTAACAAATGAAATATTACAATAACTTCTAATTTATTTATTTTTACTATGTATACTTTTACAAAAAGGTAAAAATTGCTTTTTTAAAATCAATCTTTGTAAGCTCTAATTTTTTCTTACTTCACTTACCATTTTTAACACAATTTTATTTCTCATTTCAGTAAGGAACTGCCACTTTGCTATACGTCAAACCTGGGGTTTGGGTTTGTTTGTTTTTAAATTACAAAAATTAGTTCAATTTCCCGGAAAAATGAAAAAGACATTCTGAATGTTCAGTAAGATGTTTCCAGTTCCTTCATTTGGAATACTTACAACTTCTAAAGGTAGCAGAGTGCTGTATTGTTAGAAGATCTTCACTGCAGATTAAAGCTGAGATGGAATGACTCAACTGAAAAATCTGTGACCTGGTTATTTCATGAGACCCAAAAGGGCAGAGTAGACCAGGACAGAAATCAACTCTAGCTAACAATTCCTTCCCTGAACTAACATATTTCCTGTCATCCACAAGGAAGGTAGTATATTGAGGGGAAAAAGAATTAGACAGACAGACACACACACACTGCTCCTTTTCCCCAGACAGATTTAGTAATTGAGATTTTAGAACTAGGACAAAAAGTTCCTGTGGAAGATTGGTCAGTCAGTCTGCAATGTGTTACCAATGGAGAAAGTCTTTTCTTACATGATATATACATATATATATACACACACACACACACAGAGTTTTTAAACAAAGAAGCAACCGTATCAACATTCTAAGCAGAGCCAGAACTCCTCCACAATACACTTCATATTTTAGGCTGAATGCTTCCAAAATCCAGTGTTTTATCTACTTAACTATGATGCAAATAAACCTGAAATTTTATTTCCTTCATCCCAAGTCTCTAAAGGAACATGACTGGAGTAGGCCTATTTTCAAAGCTTTTCTTACCTCATTCTTGGGCCTCCCCCTATATGGTATTACTTAGCAAAA